GTTTGTTGGCAGTCTCTCAGCGGCTTGACTCACCGCAGGGTCTCTCCCTTTCCGTGACCCCGAAGAGCATTCGCTCCCCTGCCCTGGCACTGAGGCAAGGGAACTCCTGCGATGCCACCATCTGGCCCGGCGGATGAAGACGCACAAACCCTGCAAGCACTGAACAAGTGCCAGCCGCCAATCTGCTCTCTGCCCTCGATGAGCCTCTCATTTCCAATGTCACGTCACACGTGATTATTAAACATTAAGCAAAGGCAGCACGACCTCTCCTTCCCTCCCTCAACTACCTCCCTCCACCGTCCGTCCCAGCAGAGAAACTCGGTATAATTGACTACCGTGTTGTATCTTTCACACAGAAGCAAAAAAAAATACCCTTTTAGCCGATTCAGGAATCTTGGCTTTTTGTAAACCTGCGTTTGCTGGAGTGTGTTTAACTAATATTCCGTATTGGATATCTGTACTCGCAGAAGTTAGGACAAGCTAAAGGTTCTCAACTTTCTTTTTAAAGCTCCCGTTTTAGTAGAGGGGCTAGAACTGAATTGCACACATGCTGCTCGCAACGGGGGTAAATCTCTACACAAAGCGCAGCGTAAAACTACACTTGACAGTATATTCTGTGAAGCGCTTTGAGACGTGGTAAGGCGCCATGTCAAATGCAAACATACTCTTGTTGCGTTTCCTGCACTGCATAAAACGTGTTTGCCATCCTTACTATTACCAGCGTTGGAGCAATGATTTGACAGATCGTATCATTGAATAGAAAAACAGCACATTTTAAACGTGAGTTTGTGTAATCCATTAACCTCCACCATCTCTGTCAATTGGTTGACTTGTAATCGCTAGTCTATCTACTAAATATGTAGGCATTTGCCAAAAGGTTTTCTTCTTAGCGCATACTTAAACCTTTTGAAATAGCAAGAGGAGTTTGAGTGAGAATTGGAGCCATGTTACACTTGCAATCCATAATAATCACCACCTCTAAATGAACAGCTTGTCCTTTCTGGCTGCATTATACTATGTGCAGACACTTTTTTTCTGAACCCTTCTTGAATTCACTGTACAGCCTGGTAGTTTGTTCTGCTAAGTATCGTGCCTGCTTTTGCACAATGCTTTTTTTTAAACCTTGTGTTTCGCCTTTAGCTTCCTGATCTGACATTGATCCAGCACTGTTCTTTGTTCCTGGTTTAGTAGATAGAACTTCCCAACCAGCACGTTGTCTAGTTCCCTTTGTATTTTAAGTATAGGAACCTTGTCTGCTTCTCTCAGATGAAAATGATCCAAGTCGCCGAAGGCTATCTGCTCACACGGCAAAGGAATACTCGTAAAGTAACCATGATGCATTACTTTGCATTTATTTTTAAGACAGCGATGTTCGATGCGATCAGAATTGCATCCAATTTTCTAAGTGCATTTTACTGTGCTCCACAAAATTAGTAGTACAGAACTGGTCTGCCTCTGTACTTCTGGATCTATCGTATAACCATTTGAAGCTGCTTTGTTTCAGCATTGGTAGAATAACACCTGAGTATTTTTTTTCACATGTGTGTTGCAATATTTATCCTCTTTTAAAATGCCGGCTCCTGCCAGGAGCTTGAAGTGTAGACCCACCTGTGATCAGAGAACCTGACCCTTTCACACCCGCGGTGTTTAGGCTGAGGTGGGTGTGTGCTCCTGGACGCTATCCTGCGCGGAAACCGCTGTATACACACAAGTTGTCATTGTTTGTGGTCCCTAAGATGGTGTTCGCACCATTTAGGGGCTCCATCACGATTGCTCGACAATTCTCCCGTGATTTTTCTCTCCCACCACCCGTCCTCACCCCCCCATTAAGCAGCCCTGTCACAGCGAATACCGGTTGATTTCATCAACCAAAATTCTATTTCTGCTCCACGGACAACCAGCAAGCTCCGAGCAGCTTGTCGAGCTTTCCTGCTGTGAAGGGGGCATCATTTCAGACAGCTGAGGCACACTGTGCGTACAGAGACTGACAGTGAGAAATGTTATTTCAATGCTGTCCTCTGTCCGATGTACAATTCGCGACTCTCGAGACCTCCTTCGCAAGGAAAAAGCGGTCAAGTGAGGTGACTGCGCGCGCTCCAGGCAAAATGCAACTTCTTCCGTATTAACAACAATAATAATAATAATCCTTGCATTTGATATAGCGCCTGATCATGTCTTCGAGACGTCTCAAAGCGCTTCACAGAATATACCGTAAAGGGAGTTGACTGTATAGTTTGTGGGCGAAACGCAACAGCCAATTGCGCACAGCAGCGTCCCACAAACAGTCGAGGATTCAAGTGACCAAATTATTATTATTATAAAGGTCCCAAAGCACAGCCGTGAAGTGAGTGACCAACTGATCTGGAAGATTGTTGACTGACACTCTGAAGGTGTGAAATTCCACCGCTTAACCTGCCAGACCATTTTTTTGCCTTAAAATGTTAAGATCGTGCAGAATTGTGGAAAATTCTGAAGAGTCAGTTTTAATTTAGAAACTGGCTATTGTTAAGAATCCTGTAATCTGGTTTCCAAACGTAGAGTTTCTCACACCGTTCCAGCTTTAATTTTTAAGATGAAACGGTTCTACGGGCTAAGACTAGGTGAATTTGGGGGTGCTGAGCAAACGGTTGATGGATGATTCAACCTCAACAATTGACCGATTTTAAAAAAAACAAATCATAAATAATATAATTTTAACTGAGTTTTGCAGATTCAGGGCCACTATTGAAAAAAATCTGCATTTAATTTATTTAATTATAATTTAAAAAAACACTTGTAGTTATTATTTCTTGCTCAGTGGCTAACAATACGTAGCACGGATCAGAGTTGTGCTGTTTAACAATTTAGCTTCTTGTTTTGGATTGCTATGAAGCCTCCTTAATAGTGATTTTATTGTTGCGTGTGTGCGTGTGTGAGGGGGAGAAAAACAAAAGCTCTTCTTTGTGGGAGTCAGTTGGCCAGAAACCAGCTGAAAATACAGGGCAATATTTTTAGCATTGAAATTAGCTAGAGGACATCATTGCTCTCACTGCGTGGGAATGAGATGCTGTGAAGGATCATGATGTAATGTACACCCACACCACCCAGCAACGAAACGAAGGGATCGCAAAGGGGAGTTGGGGAGAGAAAATAAACTTGATGTGTCTGTGATTAATCCCTTCAGGAGACGTTCATTCTTCTGAATTGGTTTCCCCCGATTCCTACGTGTTGCAAAAGGTGATATCTGCACATTCCGATAATAATAATAGTAATAATCCTTGCATTTGATATAGCGCCTTATCACTCTTCGAAACGTCTCAAAAACGCTTCACGGAATATACTGTAAAGTGAATTGACTGTATATTTTGTGGGCGAAACGCGGCAGCCAATTGCGCACAGCAGGGTCCCACAAACAGGTGTGGATTGAAAATGACCAATTTATTATTGTTTTTGGTTTCGAAGTGATTATTATTAGGCTCTGTGTGGAGTAACGAAACTCGCCCAAGGTTTCGCCCTCTGCCTGGAATTGAACCCAGGTGTCTCACTTGCAAAGTGAGTGCTCTAACCACTGAGCTACAGGGTTGCTACTTGCCGCAGGGTAAACAGAGACGTGTGGAGTAAGGAAACTTGCCCAACCTTTCGCCCTGCCCAGGAACCGAGTGCTCTAACCACTGAGCTACAGGACTCCAGATCCATTGTCACTAGGCTTAGTTCTTTGTGGCAGAGTTGTTATGCTTTACAGAAAAATTCTGCAGCGAAGTGTTTCGATGTAACAGAGCTATATCGAATGCCAGGATTATTACATTACAAATAAGAGTAACGTGAATAAACCTGCAGGTTATTCTACCTTGGTGCCTCTTCGCCTCATGTGGCAAGTTGGTGCAATTCTCTAATGTTTCAGACTGCGAGGAATTTCAGAGAAGTGAATCGAAAAGGCTTCATTCCCTCCCCCCTCCCCTACTTTAGGACATACTGAAAGGCTCTATACCTCAATTGTATTTTGGATGAATATTCCATCATAATATTTAATAATAATAACGATCCTTACGTTTGGTAGAGCACCTTTCACATCAGGAGATCGCCTCAAAGCGCTTCACAGGATATATTGTAACGTGGAGAGTGACCGTATATTTTTTTACGGGAGAAATACATTGCCAATGAAGTGAAAAGCGCAGTATTAATTGGAATCGAGAGGGGCTATCATAGAATGAGTTAGACTTGAGGAGGTGGTTTTGACCACACATCAAACTTGCTGCTTCGGTAGTAATTTGCAGAAGTCCTCTCGGACTTGTACTCAATGCTTCCGCGACCGGAATGGGTTGCGTAAATATCTTTTTTCAGTTATTTTAAAGCATAACACCCAGTATCAGAGTTGGGTGCATAGCCAGGGTCAATGGCATTGGTTGGGAAAGGTTCATCGATGGGGACAATTTCCACCAGAGTCTGGATTTCTCTCTTTTCTTGGCATTTCAGAGGGTCTGGAATTTGGCAAATCGTTGATTTCTGGCTGCACTTTCAGCCGTTTTTTCTGATGTATTTAAGTTTGGCAAATTCTGGACGCTACGACATTTTAAGGGAAAAAAGGGAACATTTAGAATTGGGTGGAATTTCAACCCTCAAGTTACTTCATCAACAACACGTTTACTGCTTGTAGGGATATTGATTCCCTTTTGACGGTATAAGGTGGTCGTAAATCCCTATTCCTCACCAGGAGTCTGGTCCCAGATGGGACGAAACATTGTTTACCTGTTTACCTAGCAGTAAGTAGGAACCCAGTCGTTAGTCGATTGGCAGATAATAATCCCTTCAAAAAAATAAGGAAAGAATTTGGTCACTCGATCCACAACTGTTTGTGGGACGCTGCTGTGTGCAATTGGCTGCTGTGTTTCACCCACAAAATATACAGTCAATTCACATTACAGTACATTCTGCGAAACGCTTTGAGACGTCTCGACGATGATATAAGGTGCTAATTCAAATGCAAGAATTATAATATTATTTATTATTATTATTATTCATACCTGTTCCATCATCGCTGGAGCTGAACCCACAGATCAGACTGATGTGTTGCACCCATCTGTTCATTTCCTCCTCGGTTTTAGCCACCAGGTAGAAAGTGCGAGCTGGTGTTTGGACGTCGAAAATGTAATTGTTTTGGAATTGCTTTTTGCTGAGCTTGATCCCGGCCTCGATGTTCTCACACTGGTTCAGGTTGATCATGCGCAGGGGTTTCTTGGAATGGTGGTTTTTGTAGTATTCCAGGACATCCGGGTTCCCACTCAAACGCCCACTGCGTAGCACAAACCACCGTTTCCTCCAGGCCTGGGGAAAGACAATATTGTCAGTTCTAAGCCATCGGCGCACAAGCCCAAATTGCACAGGCTTTCAATATAATGTGTCAGCCGGGCTCAGCCAGAATCTCTCCTGCCTCTGGGTCAAGAGGTTGTGAGTTCAAGCCCCATGTCAGCAACTTGGAACTCATATGGTCTTAAGCTGACGGTCCAATGCGCAGAGCTGGGCTGTCCTACAGTGTCGGAGCTGCCATCTTTCGGAGGAGACGGTAAACCGAGGTCCTGTCTGCCTGTTCAGGTGGACGTTAAACACCTTGTGGCACTATTTGAAAAGAGAGGGGAGTTTCTCCTGGTGTCCTGGCCAACAATTGGTCATTCACCTCATGGCTGTTTGTGCGACGTTGCTGTGCGCAAATTGGGCTGCTGCATTTGCCCACAAATCACCCAGTCGTTAAATACACTTCACGGTAAATCCTGTGAAGCGCTTTAAGATATACTTTTGGCATGAAAGGCGTTATATCAAATGCAACAACAACAACAAAATTAGATTTGTATAGCGTTGAGAGGACGTCCCGAGGCGCTAAATGCAAGGATTATTATTGTTTCTATTAAACCAGGGATCCTATGGCACTCTTCAGAAAGTGGGGGATAAATAATGAGAAATGATTATTAATGAGAAAGCACGAGAAGATATCAACCTGCAGATTCTTATTGTTAATAGCTTGCGTTATTTATTCTACGTCACACACTGGAGCTAATAAGAGTTTTTGGAAACAAAATCTCTGTCACAGTAAAGAGTAAAAAAAGAGAAAGGCATACAGTAAGTATTATCACACAAAAAATCCCAGAGCGGTTAGAAGAAAACATGTTTAAAACAGAGAACGTGGAAACACTCGACCTAGACCCACTAATGGATATCAAAGCCATGTACATAATGGCATCTAAAAGGAAATTGGATCGCGACATTTACTTGGAGGGGCCAAAAATAATATTAAAGGGTTTGAGAAAAGAGCAAGGGATCTGAATTTTCCACAACTCTGCTCTACCTTGAATTTTGTAGCAAAAAAATGGTCTTACGGGCTAAGATGAGGTAGAATTTCAGGCCTCGGGAACACTAGATATATCACAACAGATCAATGATGAGGGTTCGGTATTAGAGCGGAGATTTCCAGTCGGAGAGTGTGTGTTGTTTCTGTAACCTGCGCTGTAGAAATTCTAGAATCGTACAAGGCAACTTTCAAAACCCTCCCCTCCCTGAGCTTGTGCGATGACAGGCTTCAAAAAAACACTGTGTTTAATGGCTTACCACAGGTTTCTAGATCTGACTAAATGATGAAGCACATCGTGAATAATGAATGCGTTGGACTGAAGTCATAGAACCTGAAAGCAATGCTCACAGTTTGACTGAAGATCACTTTGGGGAATCCGCTTGTTTTATGATCCTATAGTGAGTTCCTCTGGGTGCTTTTATTCAGCCTTGCTGCTCTGTTTCTCACTGCTACTGATCACGGTGCTTCTTGTCAGTAACGTGCCGTGACATACACAGGACTTCTGAGGCCAGAAATTCCGGCCTGGTCTTAGCCAGCGAGTCAGCGAAGGTTTTTTTTTGGCCTCAATATTTGAGACGGAGCTCACCAAGACTAGATGGAATTTTGGGGTCTTTTGAGCCACTTGATGTAAGAGATCCCTTCTCTCTGTCTGTGCTAGACTCAAGCCTCGGCCCATTTCTAAGCACAGAACAAACAATAGTGTTAGCAAACAGCGTGCAATTTACACCCTGAAGTCCATATATTGGGAGGACGTCCTCGGGACGTGAAAGGCGCTGTACAATTGTGATTTGTTCTGTTTGTTATTGATCGGGAGCCTTTGTACGACGAGCAAATTGGCCATTGTGGCGAGGTAGCCCTAAACATTAAGCTTTGCCGTCGGGGCTGGGAAAGGAAGTGGAATCGCAGTGTAGAAGGTTGGTAAGTGCTCAAATAGGAGAAGCAGACCCCAAGGTTCCAGAGCGAGATCTCTAACCTGGTGACAGTTCCTCTGTCGCTAATGGATGTGCCACAAATAAGTGTTTTTTTTTAAAAAGAAACATGTTCTGCGGGCTGGCGATTCTGCTGCTTTCAGAGGAAACGACCGGACAAGGAAGCTGAACGTTTCAGTTCCAAGTGCTTGCTGGTGTGGGCGAGCGGAGGCCGTTGATTGGGACCTTTGTGTCGGGTCTCCATTCAAAAGCTAACGTGTGGACTGCTGTGCTTTGAGGAACGTTGCCATCGCCGTATTGCAGTTGCATCGCAACTGATCGTGAGGGAAAAGAAAAGTGACGAGCGCAGGCGTGGGTCCAGAAACAAAACCACGGAGGGCACAGAAATGCAGAAAACCGCAGTTTTGGGTGTGAGTCTTTACAGAAACAGTTTGGATCATTTCTGATAAAAGCCAACACCCAAACCAATGACTTGTTTCTCTTTCAGAGTCTCGCGACCATTTTGCTCTGAATCTCGCGCCGTCGGCATCTTCCAGCAGCAGTTTCGTTTTGAAATTAACTTTTCGTCCCACACGTAACCACCAGGGGAATGTGAACACCAGACTTTCCGACCACGTGTGAATAAGCACAATAATCCTTGCGTCTGCATTTGACACAACGCTGAATCATCACGCCGTTGAGACGTCTCAAAGCGCTTCACAGAACATAGTGTACAGCAGATTGGCTGGGTACTTTTGTGGGCGACACGTGGCATCGAATTGCGCACAGCAGTGTCCCACAAACAGCAGTGGATTGAGTGACCAAATTTATAATGATTATTAATATACTGTGTACGTGTATCACACACACACTCACACACGTACAAACACACAGGCATCCTTCGGAGGGTGTCAGCACTGTGCTAAGCTGCGTCTTTTTCTTTTAAAAGGGCTTTCATCCCCACATCGTCTTGAACAATAAATGTGACCACTTGGTGCAACGGGCTCAAGGTGTTGTGAAATGTTTGCTAGCTCCATCGCACTGATACAAAAACAGGCACAGTGCTGTCAATACACGCTGACATCTGTGTCGATTTTATGGGACTAAATATACAGGCAAAATGGCCTTACAGTCTCCGGGGAAGTGGATTGATTACTGACGAGCATGCAGTGATGTCATGGTACTCACAGCAACAAAACAACAACTCATATTGGTATAGGACCCTTCACTTAGGATTATACACAGATGGATAAGTAATCATGAAATGTTCTGAGCTGAACTCTTTAGCATCAAGTGACTGAAGCTAAGCACAATGACTCTGCAAGGTTAACACGCTCATCTCGACCATGACTATGGTTATATTACGGTCATAACAAGTCCTTTAATGGAGGCAGAGTAAAAATAAAATCCCACCCAGGATTTGATCGTAAAATGAATCTTGAAGGTCTGCAGCCGGTAGTAAAAAAATATAACAAAGCAAAACTTGCATTTGAAATGTACTCGTACCATCCTCTGTTTGCTCTGAATTCAATACCTTGTGAATTTCCTTCAATTTTGTGTCCTTTTTAAGCCGAAATTTAAAAAAAGCCTGTCAGTGTTCTGTGCGCTGCAGTGCTATTCCTCCACATCAGTTATGGGTGAGAGGTAATCAATTATTTATCGAGAGTAACATATGGTTCAGCCCCATCCTTTTATCTGTTACTGTACTTACTTGTCCTATTTTAGAGTGGATGGGAGAAGGCTGCCTCTCGCCATAAATAATTAAGGGAATTTAAAATTGTTGCAGTCCTAAAACATTATTGCAAAACATCAGTTTCTCCACAAACCTTCTGTTTCCTTCCAATGTGCAGTCAGTGCAGACGATTATTGCAGGAGATCAATGAAACGCGGGTGTGAAACGTATGACATTTCGTAGCATATTTGCCGGGATAATTAGCGCACTGAATCAGTTGTGAAACGTCGCAAGTTTCACCCCATGAAATGCACAGAAATTTATTTCAGAAAGGTACGTTGTGAGTGAGAGTGTATGTCCATACGTACAAACTATTTGCCATGGATAGCACTTCTTTCTACCGTATTTTGTTTGTTGCTACACTGTTTTCCTCTGTTGAAAGCCTGTGCGCTTTATCAACAGTTGAAAGATAAAACAATAAGCTACCTTTAGTAGTCCAATGATCACATTTATTATTTACCCACTAGGATTCTCCGACGTTGGTGCCCAAAGCTACGAGATTGATGGGATTGTAAATGGATACCGTTATAATATCAGATAGCAAGAAAAGGAACATAGGCCCATCTGTAAACACATGAAAAGTGAGGAACGAGTGGGTAAAATGTGAACTTTTCTATATTCTGAGATATTCTTAGCTGTTGGACGGGGATTTTTTTGGGGGGGTAAGGGTGCCAGCCGGCTGTCTGACACGGAAACAGATCATCACTCTTAAGAGTGTCCTAACCAAGCTGAGATTTCCACGTATCCCACATACACATGGAAATCCCGGCGATAGATTGTTGGAATGGTATGCAACCACCACAACAACAACAACAACATTACATTTGTATGGTGCCTTTCACATCGGGAGGATGCACACTTTCTCCCTGGAGGGAAGCATCCTGCTTACCTAATTCGGAAGGTGTTAGACGCAGGTTGGCAAGAACCAAGGCTTGGGGACCCCAGAGTGTGCTTTGGTTAACTGCTGGAGTCTAACCAGCTAAAACAGCATAGCGGGGAGGAGGAACATGCTCAGAGGGAACTGAGGTTACATTGATGGATCAGAATCCTGGAGCCACAGCCTTACCTTTGACTCTCTGTGGATTTAAGTTGACTTCATATCCAGTACGAAAATCGGCAAATAGGGCTCTGATTACAGGGTGGAAAAATGTGATGTGTGATGGGTTAAAAACTACCTGTGCTATTCAACCCATCATGTGTTGCAATTCCCAACCCCAACTATTGTGTTTTTATATCTACGCACATTGAGGAAATTGTGTGAAATTTCTCGTGGAGATTTAATTTCACAATCGGTACGAAGGCAGTACAATAAGGATATGACCGTCAATGTCCCAATTGCTAT